GGAGGGAGGGGGCGGTGCCGTGAGAGGTGTTGACCGCGGGTTGACAATAATTTTAATGGTGCTGCAACGGCGGTGGTGATGGCGACACGGCGCCGCGCCGCTCGCCAATGGGAGGGGCGCTAGACAGGATGCAGCGGTTGTGAAGCGGCCTACGGGAGGGCTTTTGCAAGCACCGTGTGCGACACCGGCCCGGGCCATGGCAAATAATCCCCCAAACGCACCTTGGGCGGCGAGCCGGGGGCGACTGCCTCAAACCACGCCGCCCCGCGGCCGCGCGCGGCCGCGTCCCACCGCAGCGCCAGCTTGCCGCCGCTCCTGGGCTCCAGCCAGCCCGCGACGAGCGGGTAGCGGTCCACGGTGCGCTGCAGGGCGGCGGCCAGTGCCGCGGCGTCCATGAGGCCGTCAAAGCGCCACGCGCCGCTGATTGTGCGCCGCAGGTGGGACGCGTCCATCGCGTGCAGCTCCACCTCCCCCCGCGGCTGCGCCGCGGCGGCGCGGACGTTGACGCGGCGCTCGGCGCGGCGGCGGCGGCCGGCGGCGGCCTCCGTGGCCTGCACGATCTGGCGCGCCGGCCGGATGGTGACGTTGGCCAGGAAGTCCATCCTTTGTCTGCCCGGCTGGATCTGCTACCTGTAGGGCCCCGGTGTCACTGCAGCTGGCCGGTTGTTGGGAAGGCCGCTGGATGGCCGCGCCCGCTAGCGTGCTTGGGTGCTCTGTGTGGCAGTGGCGGCGCAGGAGGAGGGGTGTGGACTGTTGCAGGATGTACATGCAGCTTGAGTGTTGATATATGCGGCCGCATCAGCTGCCTCGCGGTCCATGTGGTGAGCAAGTGCCGGACAGCAGCAGCGGCGGCCGGGGGGCAGCCGGCTGTTTGGGCCAAGTGACACCATGAACATCGCTTGCGGGCTTGCAAACACAAAGATCCGCGTGGCGAGCGTGGGTGGCGAGCGAACCGTATGCACCTGTGCGCCCGCGGCACGGAATCAACCCTCTGCAGAAGCGGGCGTGCCCGTGACACCGCCTCGATCCGGCTTTCACACAAGTGTATAATAATTTCAAAGCCGTTACACACGGCGCCAAGTAACCGCACCTGTGCTTTCTTGGCTCAGGTTCGCATGACTGATTTGAGGCCTGGGAAGTGAGAGTTTAGGCACCTTGCTTGTTCAGCAGAGCCGGGCCCAGGCTGGTTGGGATGCAAAAGTATGAAATGGGAATGCCAGATTTGCCAGGCCAAAACAATCCTCAAGCTTTCGCGCATACCAGGTGCTGGGTAGCCGCTGGTGTCACACTCCACAAGTGTCCGGGTGCACGATGATCGGCAGCTGCTGGGAACCAGCCAGCCGAGTGCCAGGCAACCGCTGCGTAGTGATGAAATGCAGCTGAGATTTGAGCAGCGCTTTGTGGCCCTACCCAAACGCCAGGAGCTGGTGAAGAGCTCAATCTCGTGCCTGTTACTCACGGTCAGGGAGTGAGGATGAAGAGTGAGCGTCGGAATGGGCGCGAAAACCAAGAAGCAGGGTCCCACAAAGCAGTCCAACCCCCCATCACTCTCCACCCCGTATTCAAACGACATGCGCCCGTCAGGAAACGCGTGGGGCTGGCACTGGGGGTTATTGCCTGGCTGCCACGTGGGCCTAGTGCCTCGCCGCTGCCATGCATCGACCAAGCTCCGAGGCTCCCGTGCTTTGGTGAGAGGCGCCTGAGACCACACCATCCACACAGCACTTCTGCGAGGTCACAGGTCAGCTGCCCTTGAGCATCACACGCAGCTGTCTGTACGCTCAGCCCGCTGGCTGCGGTCGGCCAACTTGTTCAATTCGGACAGCTGCAGCACAATACTTGCTGTAATTCGGTAACATCCGCTCGCAAGTGTGGTGGCGATGCAACACAGTTTTCGGAACATAAACGTAAGTTTGTGTTGGAAGGAGTTGAGTGAAGGCGATGTGGCAGCCAATTGAAGGGTTTAAGGACATCTGCCCGGCAGCCGGGTCCGGCGTGCTGCGCCGAACGTTGCCGTGGGGCAAGTCGCAGCAGGCACACAATGTCTACTGAACGCAAGTGATTAGCGCGCGCGATACGGTTGACGCGCTGCACCAAGCCGGGGCTCGGCGTGGCACCCTTGTTGAATATACGATGTTCATGGCGATGAAAGCACATTGGTTGAAGCCAGCAGTGGAAACAAGCAGGGAGTTTGAGCTACAGTACAGTACGACTCGACACATTTGTGGGACGAGGGCGGCGAGGCTGGTGGAGCAAGCGAGCCACAAGGCAAAGCTGCAGCCCTGGTCGCGCGAGGCCAGGCGAAATGGGTTCCAGGGCAAAGTGCGGCCGCAATAGCTGGGCACGCTAGCATCACGGTGGTGCGCTGAGCAGGTGCATGCGCATGGCTGGCGGCACCCGCCACAAGGCTGGTTGGTCTGTGCAGCCGTGTCACACACCAGCTGGTTGCCGCGCGCCAGCAAACAAGAGGGGGGCTCTGAGGTGCAAAAGTATGGGCGAGGGCAGTCCAGGCCGTGTTGACGTACCCGCTTGCAGCCGCAGCAAGCGGTCCTTGTGGTTCCCTGCAGCCACCTCATTCGTCGCAGCCCTCTGGGGGCAGCCGCCCCATGAACGCCGCCGCGAGCTGCAGGGCCGTGCGCTGCATGGCGTCCGCATTGATCTGGGCGCGCTCCGCAAAGCGCCTGGCGAACCACAGGGGGTCCTGGTCCCCAAAGTAGCCGCCCACAGCCTCCCTGGCCAGCCGCTGCGCCCTGGCTGCCGCCGCCGCCGCGCCGGCTGGGTCGCTGTCCCGGCTGCCCTTCTCCGTACCGCCGGTGCCGCTGCCTCCAGACAGCATAGGCGCGCATGCAGTGGGCGTGGGCTCACCGGCGGACGTGTCGTGCAGGGTGGCCCCGGCGCCTGGCAACCGCATCCCCGTTCGCTCACCAACCGAGGCGGGCTGCTGCTGCTGCTGCTGCTGTTCCTGCTGCTGGCGCATCTCCGCGTGGCTGTACCGCAGCCACTCGACGCCAATGCACAGCGGCGGCGCGTCCCCGTCCGCCTTGTGGGCGTCGAAGACGCTGCGGCCCAGGCAGGCAGCCGTCAGCAGCTCGCCTGGGGGCGTGGGTGGGTACCGAGTTTATGCAGCGGCAGACGTAAGCATGGCCTTGAACATTAGTCATGGACATGCAGGAAGACAGGCCCTTGATACCCCTGCAGTTGCAGCCGGGCATGTTGGCTGATTGACCGGGCGTGCGCCACATGTGCCTCGTGTGTGGTGTGATAATATCACGATGGGTCACGGCACCGCAAGCCAGGGCGCACACCTGGCGGAATGGTGGGGCGCTCGGCAGCGTGCCAGGCGGCCAGGTCGATGCCTTGGTGGAAGGCGCTGCGCAAGCCCACGCACGTGGCACCTGCACGGGCGCGTTGGCGGCACAGCCGGGCGCCGGTGGGTGCGTCAGCGGCGGCGATGCGGACGCGGGACGCATGCAGGCCGCGACAGCTAAGGGCGTGCAAGCAGTATCTGCATGGAACGCGTGCAATTTATGTAGACCATTGTCATGGCGGCGGGACTATGCGCAGCTGAGGTGCCGCTTTCGTCAAGGCGCGACATCGCGCGAGGGCGCGCGCACCGGCGGACTTTCCGTCCGGCTGAACAACCAGCAAGCCCGCACAGCTCTCCTGTTGTTGCTCTACAGATGCGTTAGGTGCGTTAGTAGTCATGATATTGAAGGCGTATAGCGTCGTGTCGCTGCCGATTGTGCCGTGGCCCTTTGGCAGGAGTCTCGAAAGAAACAAGCCTCGAGAGTCAGAGTGAAGTGCTTATAGAAAATGATGCTGTAACGTTCGCTTATTAGACTGAACACGATCAAGTTACGGTAGTAAAAAGCCATTCCGAGCTGCACGGCACTACGTTTACCGGTCATCACACCCGCTTTGACAACCACTCTCATTGTCCCATCTGGGAGGTTGTGTATGGGAGTTACTATTGCTGATAGACTAGTGACCTCGTGTCATTACTCACCCGCGATCTACATTGAAAATGGCAGGCTCAATAAGCATAGCGTGCAGCACACTGCAGTGACGGCTACATATATAATCTAGAAGGCTCAGTGGCCGCAAGGGTGCCGTCCAGGGCCCCTCTGAACTCTGCAAACGCTGGTGGAGCAGCACTCTAGCGTGCCGGGGCAAGCGTCGAAGCTGGCGCGCAGGGAGGGGCGTTCAGGATGGGGAACTGGCTGCAGGTGAGAGAGGGATTGAAGACTCACACGGCGAGGGTTCCTTGTGCCTGCTGCAATGCACGCGCATCACGGCCTCTTTCAAAACCCGCGGTCCGCGACTGCAGGACCCCGCGGTGGTCAATGGTGTGTCTGGGGCCATTGCAGGTAGGCATTGCCCCGGATGGCGCAGGCGGCGCCCGCTGCCGAACGCACCGCTCGCCGCTTCTCGCGACCGTCGGTGCCGCTCGGCCTGCACCTCGCCCCGGCACAGCTGCCGTCTTGCCCGACCGCCCGCGAGTTCCTTGTGAGACAGTCCCCACGGATCTCGCCGCATTCAGAAGCCGCGTCACGCATCGTTCAGGCATTCCGCCTCCCCAAAACGTCCCCGTCGCCCGGCCCCCCGTGATGCGAGCGGGCGTCAACGCCCTCATCCTTCTGCCCCTGCCCACACGCCGCCTTCGCCCGCCGCGCCGCCCGCAGGCGCCCTGACAGCCACGTTTGTGTGCCCATTGGACGTCCTGAAGACGCGGCTGCAGGTGCAGCGCATCTCGTCCACCACGCGCGTGGGCATCATCGGCGGGCTCTCGGCCATTGTCAAGGCGGAGGGCGCCAAGGGGCTGTACCGCGGCCTCACGCCGACGCTCATGGCGCTGCTGCCCAACTGGGCGGTGTACTTTTCGGTCTACGGGCGCCTCAAAACGGTCCTCACCACGCGGCAGGGTGGGTGGGGCTGCCGCCCGGGGAGCACGCGCGCCGCGGCGCAACAGAGTCCGTTGAGTGCAGCCGCCTGTGGCTCGCGGCTGGCGAGAGTGGGGGCAGTGTGCTGCTGCGCCAACAGCGGCCAATGGCTGCACACAGCAACAGGGTTTGCTGGCTGGGGTGCGCCGCGGGCTGTCAAAGCAGGGGTCTTGCACCACGGCGGTGGCGGCGGCGCGTGAGGACGCCGGGGGCTGGTGGCAGTGGCGGCTAGCGGCGCGAGGGCGGGCAGCTGTGCAGTGGATTGAAATCACGTGTCGCGCCGGCTGCAGTGGCTGCTGCACATGCTGCTAGGGGCGGTGGCATGCAGGAGACCTGCGTAATGGCAGTTTGCCGCGGTCGCGCGGCGGCTGGACGGTGGTGTAGTGGCGACCAGGCAACCACCCTGCTTTACCGCGGCTTCACCCGACCATGTCACCCGCGCACGCCCCCGCGCGCAGGGCAGCAGGTGGCGGCGACGCCCGCAATACACATGGCGGCTGCCGCGGGCGCGGGCGTGGCCACGCTGCTGATCACCAACCCCTTGTGGGTTATCAAGACGCGGATGCAGACGCAGCACATGAACATCAGCTATGGCCGGGGGCGGCAGGTCCGGGTGAGCAGCCCCTCGGGGGGCGGGGGAGGGGGCTGGTTGCTGCGGCATCGGGCCGCAGCCCTGGGGCGGGGATGGCAGCCGGCGGCGGGAAGGGGTTGCGTGGGCGGGCAAGGTGTGGCTGCGGAGGGTGCTGAATCAGGCCGCCGGTGCAGTGGGCTGGGCAGTGGTTTGTGGCAAGGGTGTTGACTGTTTGGGGCTGCACGCGGCGATTGCATGCATCTTTCGAGACAGGTTGCCCGCAGGGCCAGCTTCACCCGCTTTCGCGTCACACAGCTTGACTCACCACCCTCTGTCGCCCGCGCCGCGCGGCAGACGGAGTACAAGAGCACGTTTGACGCGCTGCGGCGCATCACGCGCGAGGAGGGGATGCGTGGGCTGTACAGCGGCCTGGCACCCAGCATGGCGGGCATATGCCACGTCGCGATACAGTTCCCGCTGTACGAGGCGGCAAAGGTGGGTGTCAGCGGGGGCGGGGGGAAAGGGGTGCACGGTTGTTGGGGTGCGTGCGTGTGTGCTTGGGAGGGGGCCCGCTGCGCAGGAGGGGCTGGGGGTCGTGTCGGCCGTTGATGTAGGGGCGCGCTGAGCCCTGCGTGGTGGGTCTGGTGTCGACGGACGCTGGAGCGGGGCGCGCTCCACCCCGCCCTGCCTGTAGCACGCGCGCGCGCATCGCGAGTGTCAGCAGCGGCGGCGCTCAGTAGGCTGGGCATCCGCGAACCAGCCAGCTTGCAGATGCGCAGCCAGCCCTCCTGATGCGCGAGAGCCGCGCCCAACCTGTGCCCCCCCTCACTCCCCCCCCCCCAAAGGTCCATGCGGCGGCGCAGCGTGGTGTGCGGCCTGACGAGCTGGACGCTACCGAGCTGGTGGTGACGAGTGCGTTCAGCAAGATGGTGGCGTCGACGGCGACATACCCCCACGAGGTGCCGTGTGTGTGGGTGAATGTGTGCATGTGTGTGTGGCGGTGTGTGGGTGGGGGGCGCGGG